TCTTTCTGACCTCTCAACCCTCTGTAACAAGCTCCAATTTCATCATCCAGGGCTATCAGGCTAAAACCTAGACCTATTTTGGGGTAATCACTGTTACATTGCTACTATTCCATCCAGGGAAAAAAAGCAGTCTGTCAAGACACTGTTCTTCAAAACCAAAGCAAAAGTGCTTCATCCTCATCTAATGGGGACAACTTATTGGACAGTAATGTTTATGGCTTGGATGAGGTTCTCCTTTGGCATTAAAAGGCTGTCTTGACTGCATGAGAGAGAACCATGGATATATAAACAGTTTAAGTGCACCCACAGGGAATACAGAACGGCTGCCTTAGCCTACTGAAATAACACCTCTTGCCTCTTCAGCTGTGTTTTTCAGATATAGCTACCAAGGTACACCAGAGAACTGGGACAATATTCTTATTCTCATTAGCAGATGGAAGAGTGAGGCCCCTAGAGGTGAAATGACTCTCTGTCCTCTCTTCTGCCCTCCTCCCCAAAATAACCACATAATAAATCATAGCGAATAAGGAATAAAACTGTGTATCCTGACATTTTAAGAATGCTTACTTCCTGTTCCATGTTGCCATGCAGTCGTAGAAACTGTAGGTGCGCAGAAGAGACAGATGAATGTTCAGCTTGTTCTAACCCTAGCCCACCTGAAAGGACCTTCAGAAGGAGCTCATAGTAGAATTCCACTTGTTCACAGCTGGAGAAAAAGATGATCATCTTGTGGTGTTTTTCAAACTGCAAGAAAAATAAGAAAATTGCACACGACCATTTCCACAGGCCTCTCGCAATTCCCTGATCATTATAAGATTTTGGTGGCTTCCACTTCTGGAGATACAACTATCCAGAAGAGGATTACAGAGTTTGGCATCAAATACCGAGTCCACAAAAGAAGCAGGAGTACATGCTGCACAGGTATCTTACTGCCAGCATGAAAGGCTCAATAGCACCTCAGCTCTCTTGTGGCTCCCTGCACAATGGATGCACTTCAAAGCCCTAGATCTAATCCATGCTATCCTTGACAGAGTAACAGATAAAGGAGATGGAAAGGGAAAAGGGCTACTTAGCAATATAAATGCAAATAGAGTCTCACCTTGCATTTCTCAAGGATAAAAGCTGCTAACGTGACAAGCCTTAGTTTGCTGGGAACCATCATGAAATACTGCTTCAGCTTCTTTGGAACAGCAAAGTTTTCTTGCTCCATGCAGTTTGATGAACTACTGGCTTGTCCATCTGTTTGTGATGCTGGTTGGACTGTCTTCTGGATTTCACCTGCTATGGAAATGCTGATGGGATCATTCAAACTGATATCGGCCAGCCGTGTTACTCCTAAATCACAGAAAATGAAAAATACATGAGGTCCACTCCAGAGTGCTGCTGGGGAGGGCAATGATACAGTCACATTAAAAAAGTAACAACTAACACAATACCAGTGAAAAGCAGTGAAGGTCAAGGAACTAACGAGCCATGCCTCAGACAGTGGTACAACACCTCCACAGACTTCAGACTTTTCAGGACTTAGCCAAGGCTTAGTTACTGCGGGCTCCACCAAAAGCATCACAAGACACCGCTTCAGCCAACTGTGCTATTTTATATTACATACATGTCTTTACCAGACAGACAGCATTTGTCAGTCCTGGTTTTTAACTGTGTGTGGGAAAAAAACCAACAGATCTTCACTCTATCAGGAGTGCAGGAGTGAGGAAGCCTGGCTCAATTCCTGCCTCAGCAACTAACTTCTTATATGATAGTGAGCAAATCACACAACAGCTGTCCTATCATTAGCTTTTTGCCTTAATCTGTACTTGTAAAGCAAACAAACAAACCAGTGCTTCCCAGGTTCATAGTGACTTTGCTCTGGAATTTGTGAGACATACGTAAGGACCATGTAAGCATGTACACTGACAGAAATTCCAGTCACAAAGGACAAGTGTCGTAAGCCCAAAGAAATCAACAGGCACTATTCCACATCTGCAAAGGGATTCACATTGGTCTGTAATACAATCAGACTCAACCATTTCATAGTTGCTATAGCATTACTCAGCTAAAAGAGACACCATCTGTCTATAACCTACCTTCTGTGAGGGTGGCTGAGAGAAGGACATTCTGACGTGTCAATCTCTCGGCATTTAAAGCATTGAGTATCACAGCTATATCCTTCTCAAAGCCCAGGTCCAGGATCCTACAAAAACAGTAGAGGTGATGAAAGATGCTGTAGGAAGGAATGAGGAGAAAGTCTTAAAGCTACTAGAGTCAATTAGGAATAGGGGAAGTGCTAGAGCTGATCGGATCTTTGGCCCATCTAGCTTCATGTTCCATCTTCAGCTTTTGCCAGGGTCAGACATGTCAGAAGACACCGAGAGAATGTCTGTAATGAACAACTGTACAATAATCTGTCCAAAAGGGACATTTCTTCCTAATCCCAGACATCTGGTGCTTGGCTGAGGCCACTGAGCATGAATGGTTTAAGATCACATGCGTGCTCTCTCTCTTATTTTTTAAAAATATTTAGTGAATTATGATGCAGAGGGTATAAGAATTACTTTCCATAGCTAAACACTTGGAAGTTTACCTGTCTGCTTCATCAATAATCAGCCACTGAGTGCGACGGAAATGAATACATTCCGTGGACTTGATGTGATCAACCAGGCGACCAGGAGTTGAAATGAGGATATTTATCCCTTTACGTAATCTGTTTAGATTAAAAGGAAAAAAAAAAGTCCATACAAAAAAACCCCAACCACACAAAAAAGAAACAAGAAAAAAGAAAGAAAGAAAAAAAAGAAAATGTACAGGTTAGCAGTAGTTACCCTGAAATAGGAATACAGAGTGAGGGACTGGAATCTACAGAGGAGAAAAATCAAGGCCATAGTAAAATTAGCAGGGACAGTACTTTCTCACTGATTAAAACTGAAATCTCTCGCACAGCTAAATTTTACCCTTGATCATCACTGACACTCGAAGGCATACTCAGTGACAAGGACAGGGTGGAAAGAAATACGAATAATATTAAAAAACCCTAAACCACCCAAGCTACGTTTTCTTTCCTAATCAAGTACTTTTTTCAGTGTCAAGAGGAAACTTCTTGTGTATGTTTATATAGAGAGAAATGAAAATTCCATTGTGGATGACCAGCTTACAATTCAATTCTTGAAAAAGGGAAAAGAAAGATTTTTAACACCGGGAAATCTCTTCTCCAGAAAGCAATTTCCCCCATAACACATACTGTAGACAGCACTCAGTGGTAAGCAAATACAGGTGTTTGTCAGAAGAGAAAAAAAAAATACTGACACAAGAGATCATCTTCTCAGAAGGCTCATCAACATTTTAGAAATAGATCCAACGGGGGGAAGTGAAAACTTCCTGCTGACCCAGTCACTGTGTCTGTGTAAGATCCAAGGGGATCACAGCTTGATCCAAACTCACAATCCTCTCTCCCAGTAAGAAAAACACTCTGAAGAAAAGTAACAGATAAAAACGCTGTAGAGCAGAAGAACCTAAAATACAATTGAAGAAGTTGGCTTCCTACCTGGCTTTTTCAGATTTTCTCTTTTCTCCCCCCATTAGCACTCCAGGCACAATCCAGGTAAATGGCTAGAGAAAAGGAAAACCAAGATCAATACATATTCTTCATAATAGAGAGACAGAGTCTAATAAAAAAATTATTTTTCTTGGCAAAAAGAGAAAGGACTGGGGTTGACAGCAGTGTGCATCTGATTTGATCTAACAGATACAGTCTACATGCACTCTCTCACCCACGGCTACTTATCAATGGTACCTTTAGTTCTAACGACGTAACCTGCTTCCCACATCCTCTAGGAAGATAGAAATGCAATCATTTTTGCACCACTTCCAGTCACACAATAACAATTCTTTTCCTTCTCCTCATGTAGTCTAAATGTTCAAAGACAAGCTACAACACTATTTCTTCATCTTGCCTTTAAGCAATACCTTCCTGTGGCCAAGGAAAATTTAACAAAAACACAGGGCCTATAAAGTTTATATATACATACACAGACCTACACACAACAGTCACCATGTCTGTGAGCATTAAATGTCAGTCTCATTGATACTGGCAGGAGTCTTTGCCACTTACTCTAATGAGGTCCAACCCTTCACTGACTCCAATACTGCCCAATATTTACAGGGGAAATAATCAAAGCACAGTACTGCCATTGCGTCGCTCAAGAGGAAATGCAGGACAGAAGCAGAGCACAGCTTGTAAGGACTGCACAAATGTATGACTGGTAAATAGGCTTAAGTTGCACAGGTCACTGCTTGCCAGAAATGCTCCAACAAAATAGTTTCTACAAGAAGAGTTCCTTTCTAAAGCTTAAAATAAGGAAGATGTCTAAGCAAAATCCATACAATATAAACTCAGCAGCTGGCATTAGAGTTAGATACTATATCCATAGTTACTATACATTATATGTAACAAAGGAATAATAAAGGGGGATCAATCCAGACTTTGAAGGACATCCGAAGTCCACTCGTAATAACTTCTAATTACTGTGGAAGAAGACTGAAATACTTTAAACCTCAGCATGACACAACATAATCTTACTTGGTAATTCCAGCACTAAAAAGACTTGGAAGCACCTTATTATTTCAAAGACAGAAGAGGGAGTGGGACTACGGATCAGATAAATGATTTAGATACCTTCTAGCCCCGTGGTAAGATACTCTGTCTCAATTAAAAGGAAAGCACTATCATTTAATGATTTTAAAAGCCTTCTAATTTCTCCAGCCATTCAACTGGCAAAGCAGTTCACCAAGTTCTACTCTCCCTCTGAAACCCATCTGTCTAGTATTAGTTTCAGCAAATTAGTACTTCTCATTGTAAAAGTTTCTATTCGTAACTCAGACTGAAACAATGGTAGGTACGTCTAAAAACAAAATTGTGAAAATCAGCTACACTTGTTTATGAAAACATGTGCAACTAAGGCACCATAATTAATCACTCAGTTGTTCATTTAATAATTTAAAACATGCCACAGGGAAATCACACTTAAACGCGCTTAAAGACAAACAGATTTATCTTTAAGGATCATAAATCTTGCCAAAACTGGATTTCCTTAAACATTCAGTTGAATTTACACGAACTGAAGTTGTTTAGCATCATCCTAGCAAGAGGCTCAAGGAGTAAGAAGAACACAGATCACTGAATTCTTACCTTAAGTAGTTTCTGCATTGTATCAAAACTCTGGAGTGCAAGCTATGGAAATTAACAAAAGAAAGTGAGCTCTGAAAAAGTACCTGGACTACAAAAATGGACTACAAGTCCCTTTGTCTCAAAATGTAAAATAATCTAGCTATGTGTATTATCAGAATTCAAAATACGTCCTTAATTTTTCTTTTAGAAGCTGTGTTATCATTTTATTTTCTTGCATAATCCTTTTATCATATTTGGACCTATTAAAAACCCCTCTACTGGTTCAGCTTCACAAGCCAGCTCTCAGGACAATATAGACTTCTGCCAGTTTCTGTGAATGCCCCAGGTGGAAAACAAGCTGAAGCCAGAGAAGATTTTGCTCCACTGGAGGAGTAAACCAGAAAAAGCACAACTTCTGGAAGAAAACCAGTATGAAAAGGAAATGCAGTCCAGAGGTTAGTTATCTTCTGGCAGTCAGGGCAGATTACATTACTCCCTCACCTGACCCGTGGAGTGATGATACCACTGGATCTTTCTACCTGTCTGTTTTCCACTCAGCAAAACAGAGATGATATGTACAAAGCTTGCAAACCTGAATGTCTGGTCAGTAGGAAGCATTTAGCTGTTGGGTTTCATTTGCTGTCTGACAGCCATTTCTGCTGTGGCAGCAAAGATGTCCATGAAAGACGATGGTACTACCCTGACTCATCTATGGATGTGAGTAGGGCTTCGTTACGGGAATAAAACTATTTTAAATGCTCTGACTTACACATGCTACATACTATTATTTGCCAAACTCTAAAGAAAGGCCATTGCTTTCACAACAAAGTAATACCTACCGGTATTACAAATTATCTTCCTAACTACTCTCAATGGTAGCCCTTTAAACAAGCTTACAAACAGTTTCCTACATGCTTAGTATTTATACAGCATTCTAGAGAAGCATTAAGTTTGCTACTGTAAAAATTTAAACAGCTTCACAGCTTTCTCGTTTCTTGGAGCTGAGCTAAGATACTGCACTGCATGTTGCAGAGAACATTGTGCCCCAAACTGGATATCTGCAATCAATTTTCCATGTGGAAGTTATTATCATTTTACTGACCCTTCCCCCCCCCCAAAAAAAAAAAAGGCTGATACCCTCCTCTGAAATTGCCTCTGCAATGGCAAATAATATAAATCAAATAGAAGAGTACAGCAGAGAAGCCAACTCTTGGAAGCCTCATCTTCAGCATTCACTTACGGATTTTTTTTTTTTAAAAAAGGGCTTTAAAAATGAAGCGTTTGTATAAACCTACACATTTGCAAAACTTATTTCATGGGTTTTAATTACTCCCCCTGTGTAAGCGAGGCAAGCTTCTCCCTCCCATGCACTGAGCTAGAGACTTTCTCCAGTCTTCACAATTATTTCCCATTGCACAAGGAAAACTTGGAGAGATTCCTTCTTTCTTACTTTGGTACAGCACTGAACAAAAATTACAATATGCATCCAGAGAGCAAAAATTTTTTCTGTGAGGGCAAGATCTGACCAAAAGCACAGACAATATCTCCTAAGACAGTCCCTGGTGGACCCACATCTACACACTAAAAATCAGTGTTCAAACACCTAGATTCAGACAGAAAGAAAAAAGGCCACCTACCTCTCTTGTTGGGACTAATATGAGTGCGTAAGGCCCATCACTGCGCTGCAAACAAAGAGAAAAAGTCCACTAAGAAGAATGTAGCACTGATACACAGAGCACTTCTGCGTCTAACTGCTATTAGCTGCCAAAGTGAATTCTGAAGGGTTTTGGTACAATTTTGTACACAGTTTGGGGTATTCCCCCTGCCTTTTTTTTTTAATCAAGTCTTTCAAATATCAATACTGCATTGCCTTCTCTCTCTTGTGCTTGGAAACCTGCTCAAAGTCATACCCAACATTTTATTCCACACACATATTCTTTCACTCTTGCATTTCTAAGTTGCAAAAATACTCTCATGTTTGATGCACAGCAACAATCTGCAGGTAGTATCTCCAGAAAGTAATAACAATCCAGGATGGGCTGGAAACTTTTCAAACCATAAGAAAATTCAGGATGATCTCTTTCCAAAAAATGCACAAGAGATGGCAAATCTGCAGCAGCATTTCCTGGTCAACCAGATGATCCAAACTGGGAGCAATTATCAAATCTTGCTCCATGTCAAAGATCAGAAACTTATTACTCCTAAAGTCATGGCAGTAACCTTTGTTTTCAGTCCTCCCAGCTGCCAGACCATTGCCTCTTCTGCACTCTACCTTCTCCAAACTTGACAATTTAGCCTATTTAGAATTTAGCCTGCTGCATGAAGTAATGGGGAATGGGTAACATTGTTCTTGTATCATCTGTATCTCAACAGCACAGTAGGATCACATAAGCCACATGCACAAATAAAAGTGAAGAGAGACTGCCTGACCTTTGTATCAAGAAGAGACAGTAAAGACTACAAGATAAGACCTGGATTTTATTTTTATTAATCTTAATATCAAAAGCAAATATATTTCATTCTGTTGCACCTACCTGTATTTTGGATTTCATTCCTTGCAAAGACTGTACAAGTGGAACCCCATAGGCAAGAGTTTTACCTTTTTAAAGGGAGAAAATTGGAAGAGTTTCCATTTAAAAAAAAAAGTGGCAGTTGCAGCACTCCAGCAAATTAAAGTGCCATTCATCCTACCACTCTTAAACTGAGGTCATGAGTCTAGAAAAGTTGTAATTAAGTAGAAAGTTTCCAGAAAGGAAGAATGACTGGCAACTCAGCAAAGGGTTAAATTAAAAAAAAGAGAGGTAGTGGTATCCCAGTAAGATCCATCCAAACAAATATCCCCACCCACCTACAGACAATGAGACATCCAGACATAGCCTGCTGTAGAGCAAGCACGTAAGTTTCTTTGGTAAGCGTGTGCTGCTCAGCTCTGCTGGCCTCCTGGATCTGCATCCCCAGCACGAGCCTTGGGATAGGCCCACGTGCAACGGCTGGCAGCTGCACATCACACTCAGTCCCACCACTGCGTTGTCACAGAAGTTTGCACGGCATCTGCCCGTGTCACGGCAGTCCCACCCCAGCCTCCCCAGCCTGTCACTTTCATAAGCCATGCTGGGAACATGAAGTTTTGGTTCTGTATTTGGGATCCAGTTTAATATGCCCTAGGGAAGGAGACTGAGAATTAAATACTGACCTGAACCAGTCTGAGATCTCACTAAAGCATCTTTGCCTTGCAGGAGCACAGGAATTGTTTGCTTCTGAACACTGTGTAACAAACCAAACAGGTTAGGAAATACGAATGCAACATAGGGTAGAATCCTAAGGTTTTAACATCCAGTGACTGCTTCAAAACTGTTTACCCCAAATTCTACACATTCATCTCTGTTATGCAGCTACATCAATAGAGGTGATATCTAAGGGAAGTCACTACATAGACATCTGACATGATAAATTGAAAAAAAGATAGTTTTATGATTTAAGTACCAAATTCGAAGGCAGGACTTAGAGGTTCCACCTTCATCTGTGACAAGTGACATGCTGTGTTGTTTCTCATCCCAAATTTTGAAGGCAACAAACCCTACGACAAATGGGGCAGTTTAACAGGTCCTGTGGTCTTCACAAACCAATTACATGTAACAAAACAATCATAGATGATTGACTTTAAGAGGCAGCGAAGTGCCAAGTTTCTATATGAATTTGCTTACCTGGTCATGCTGTTTATCTTTAGGACGGTGTTTATAGTGGATATCTAGAGAGATATTAAAGAGCAATAAACAGGTTTCATTGTCAAACTTTCTCTTTTGCTACTTTTTGTAGTACAAGATAGAGCAAAAAACCAGAAGACTGATGCTTATTCTCTACATTACCGGTCCAGGACAACTGGACGTAAAAGTTCCCAGGTTCTCAAAATATTTAGTTCATCAGACTTACACCACTGCTGGTATATCATGAAATATCAGACTTGTTAAAATACTGCACTCCCAAATAGTTTTCTGTGGGGTTTTTTTTAATTACAAATGCAAACAGTGAAAGGTGGTGGGACAGTGTGTTTGGGGACGGGTCGGGACACTGGCTGGCATGCTGAGCTAAGAGACTGCAATAAAATCAGGTGAAGTAGGCAAATCTGTCCAACTTGCCATGAATAAAGGTGCATCTCTCTGTTTTCTAACCTGCACCCCCGCTCAAAAAAGCATGTTTCAAGGCACACAACCTTCCTGCCACTCACCAGATGTGGATGGAGGTCCAACTGGCTAAAAGAATCCGTAGTGAAAACATTTTCTTGCACTTGCTGCACCGCTTTTCTGAGTTAGGAGAAACAAATCAAAACAAAATAAAGCACATAGGGTGGTTAAGAATTGTACAATACTATTCTATGTAAACAGCAGTGAAACTACACATACCATGCAACTACTTTGCCCAAGCAAGGGAAAGACTTCAAGATACTGAACTTCAAGGCATCAAAGGGGGGTTTTTCCCTCCCATTTGTCCAAAATACCTGTGAATTTCTGGGATATCAGGGTTGTTTCTAAACAGGCTGGATGTCTTAATGAAAGGTCTGCTTTTCTGGCCTTCATTTGGGTTGTCAGTCAACTGCTTCTTAGGAAGAGATTTTTGTGATGTACTTCCCTTCTCCCTGATGTCAGCTTCTGTTGCACCTTTCTTGAAGGAGTTTACTGATGGCTTACGTTTACGTTTCAAAGGTGGGTTTCCATGTGGTGACTGGAGCTTTCTTTTCAAGGCGTTAGACTGCTTTAATGTTAACAAACAAACCAGACAGCAAGAATTCATTAATGACTGAGAATTAACAGCATGGTATCACGTCGAACACAGATATGAGCCCACAGATAGATCCCTTATTTTTGGAATCCTCTACCCCATAAGTAAAGAAACTAAGTTTGAGTTTTGCATCTAGACAGTTCCTACTCTAACAGCTTCACCACCATGCCCGAGATCTCTGAGCACTACTGCAATGCAAAAAGAAATCTGAAGACAGATATATTGCTCATCTCTAACAGATTTCATCTAGCTTCTCCGGTAACTGAGCAGAACACATTTTAAAAATCTCTCTCAAAAGCTCTGCAAATCTGATTACATTAAAGCCATCCCTGCAGGCTTCCTTCTTTCTGTGGCCAGGAGAGACAGCCTGCACTTCACTCCAACTTATGCTTCTACCAACTTTCAGTATTTCTGAGCTCTTTGTTTTTTCTTTGGCAACAATCAGTTTATTTTACTGATCTTCCAATCATCTCAAGAAAAACTTTTGCTCTCCCCATATCCCTCCAGGAACAGTGAAAAAGAAAATTAAATTTAACTTCCTTTGGTCCCAGAAGCAATTCCATGTCCCTCAGCCCTTTTTCAATGAACTTATTTTTCTCGACATGATTGCAAAACTTCTGAAATGTGTGAACAATCTTGCTCCGCTTTATTCTCTCTTCCCTACTGATAGCTGTACACTCTTATTTTCTTTGTCCTCCTAGGAATCATATTGTTTTCAAGCTCTATTACTTTTTTTTCCCTTGTTTCTTTACATTTTTTTGGCAACCAAAACCCAATCTTCTTCCACCAATATTCACAATCAGAAAAATGATGGTGGTGGTGCTGCCCTACCTCAAAATCAGGGCAAATCATGGCAAACACTTAATTCTCACATACTTTTGCAGATTATTTTAAGAACAATTTAAAAAAATTAAGAACAACTATTGAAACCATCCAGAATCACTGTAACAAAAACTTTAACATGGAAAACGTCTATTTAAACCATTCTTCTTGTTCTTTCCTCACACTTATGAGCGTAAAGCACCTATTCCTGCAGCTCACGGCATCCCCACCATTAGATATTTCAAGCATAACAAGACTTCCCCTCCCTGGCAGCATTTCAAAGGGTCTCTAAGGAGGCAGAGGCGTGTACGAGCGTTCCCCACAGCTTCAGCAGTCAGACCCCACAAGTCAATACCCGCCAACAAGGTGAGGAACGCGCACAGCGATCCCGCAGACCCACCCACC